GACAACCTTTGTCACTCATTGTGGGTTGTTCCGCTATAAGAGACTGTTGTTCGGAATCAATGCTGCTCCAGAGATTTATCAATATGAGATACACAGAGTGATAGCTGGGATAGAAGGAGCTGCGAACATATCAGATGACATCATTGTGCATGCATCGACCCAGAAAGAGCATGACAAGAGGTTGAAGCAGGTGCTTGGCAGACTGCGGGACGCAGGACTAACTGCAAATGCAGAAAAGTGTAAGTTTGGTGTCTCTGAGTTGGACTTCATGGGGCACAGACTGACTAGCGAGGGACTCAACCCAGGATTGGCCAAGGTGAAAGCAATTGCAGAGGCCCGTGAACCCCAGAATGCAACTGAGATGAGAAGTTTCTTGGGGCTAGTCAACTACTGCGCAAAGTTCATTCCGAACTTTGCTACATTGGCAGATCCACTGAGAAAGCTGACCAGAAAGGACACGCCATTTCAATTTGGTCATGAACAGCGACAAGCGTTTAAGTCGCTAAAGGAAAGCTTGATGAGTGCAGAGACCCTGGGCTACTATGATCTAAATGCACCGACAAAGGTCATAGCGGATGCCAGTCCAGTTGGCTTAGGAGCAGTGCTGGTGCAGGTGCATGCTGATGGCCCGAGGATAGTAGCATATGCCAGCCGCTCGTTAAGTACCGTTGAAAGGAGATACTCTCAGACGGAAAAAGAAGCCCTTGGACTTGTGTGGGCTTGTGAAAGATTCCATGCGTACCTGTATGGAATAGAGTTTGATCTAGTGACTGATCACAAACCGCTTGAAGTCATTTATTCACCAAGATCTAAGCCATGTGCGAGAATAGAGCGGTGGGTTCTGAGGCTTCAACAGTACAAGTACAGGGTAGTCCACATCGCAGGAAAGTCCAACATAGCAGATCCATTGTCAAGATTGCTGAAGGATGATCAACCGAGAGAAACTTCTGTGTTGGAAACAGAAGCAGAGAGCTTTGTGCGTTTTGTGGCAGTCCAGTCAACGCCAGGTGCGGTGACAACGAAGGAAGTCGAAAGAGAATCTGAACATGATCCTGAACTCGAAGTTATCAGAGAGTGTATTCACAGTGGACAATGGGATGATTGTCCATATAAAGCATACATTCCCATCAAGGACGAACTCTGTATAATTGGTCAGTGTGTGCTGAGAGGTAGCAGATTGGTGATTCCACAGGCACAGAGGCCAAAGATGGTGTCATTAGCTCACGAAGGACACCTGGGCATTGTTGGCACCAAACAGAATTTGAGAACCAAGGTATGGTGGCCAGGATGTGAGAAAGATGCAGAGAAATTCGTCAAGACTTGTCATGGTTGCCAAATCACAAGCAGGGGTAATCCACCAGAACCAATTCGAAGTACTATGTTGCCAACAGGACCTTGGGTGGATGTAGCTGTTGATTTCCTAGGACCACTTCCGACAGGAGAATCTATACTTGTGGTAGTTGATTATTATAGCAGATACTACGAGTATGCAATCATGAAATCAACCACTGCAGAGAAGACAGTCAAAGCCCTGGCTGAAATCTTTGGCAGACATGGGTTACCTGTGACGTTATACTCAGACAATGGACCCCAGTTCATCTCAGAAGTTTTCGCAGAGTACATGAACATTACAGGAATTCACCACCATCGGGTGACTCCTAAATGGCCCCAAGCCAACGGCGAGGTCGAAAGACAGAACCAGAGTATAGTGAAAAGGCTTAGAATTGCACAGGCAGAAGGCAAGGATTGGAAAGAGGCCTTGCTGACTTACGTCGCAGTCTACCGGGCTAGTACTCATTCGACAACGGGAAAAAGCCCGGCAGAAGTGTTGTTCGGGAGAAAGATCCGAACTAAACTACCACAAATCCAGGACATTAGTGAGGATCAGGAACTCAGAGACAGGGACCTCCAAATGAAAAGTGGTGCAAAACACTATGCAGATCTGAAGAGGGGAGCCGTACATTCTGACATAGTGCCAGGAGATAAGGTGATAGTAAGACGTGATGAAAGGAGGAAACTAGACACGCCATACTTTAGCCAGCCATACACAGTGACAGCAAGAACAGGAAGTATGGTAACTGTGAAATCTCCTGACGGAGTCCTGTATAATAGGAATGTATCAAGTGTAAAAAGATACATGTCCCGAGACACTCATAACGAAGCTGCCAATCCAGAGAGGACAGATGGCAATCCTGAGGCGGTGACCGGTATTCCTGAAGGGTCGGACGATAATCCTGAGGCGGAGACCAGTACTCCTGAGGCGGTGACCAGAGATCCAGACTCAGAGGCAGCGAGCAACACATCAGGCGGTGACCAGAGACATCAAGATGGTGATACCCAAGCAGAGACAACAAACACCAACGTTCCTATGGCAGCTAGTAGACCACAACGCCAGAGAAGATTCCCTAAGCGATATGATGATTTCGTGTGATTCCAGATCAATATGGTGGGAATGAGCTCTTTGTAAAATAGCGACAGTGATATCGGAAACTACATGTGCCAAGGAGAAATGTTTGGAAATCATTGGTTGAAGCCAAGTTATGATTTAAAGGGTGTACGCCTTGCGCTGCCCATATTTGTGAAATCGACATGTTGGAGAAATCACCATGGAAACCAAGCGTACGAGGAAGTTGTGTTATGTGCTAAAATAATAAGTTCTGATACATATGTTTCAATATTACACATACATTAATCAATGTAAAAGGGTGTACGCCGAACGCTGCCCTTATTGTATGTGATAGGTGTTGCGAAAAACACAAGTTTGAGTTGGAGCATCGATCAGTTTTCAAAAATGGATTCAATCATCGAAGAGAGTATTTCCAGAAACTTCAGTTTCAGCTAGTCGTATGAACGCTTGGAGATAACAGATGATTTACACAAACTCAAAACTAGAACTCAATAGTATCCAGTGAACAGTTGAACTTTATTTGGACCACAGACCGGATGCATGAAAGATATTGCATGAAAGATATTATATTGCATGTTATGTTTTATGTTGTTCAACAAAGTTGTTTGGAAGATAAAACATTTGGGAAAAGTTTATCGACCAGATAAATTTGTTGTTTGTTAGAAGTTGTTCTTTGAAGAAAAAAAAGGAAGAAACAAAAGCAAATGCATCAAAGCATGTTTATTTCAGTAATTCACATATGGCTGAAACACAAGAACAAAAGAAATATTACAAGAATTTTCAGTGAAACTATAGTATAAAAATAGACCAGGATAAAGTTTCATTCTGGCAAAGGAGGGATGTCATGATAATGAATATGTATCAGATTATGCAAATGTGACACCTGTGACCTCAGGAGGTCAGATCGCATGTGCGCGATGTATATGCGATACGCGTGACTTGATACCCAGTGCGGGGAATAAACACCAGACTATGGTTTATGGAATTCAACTACTTTGTTAGTTTGTTTGCACTTAATATGTGACACCTAGGAAGCATACACTATTACAATGTACATTGAAGGTCTTGACAAATTTGAACGAAACTGTTGTTATGTTGTTCCCAGAACAGTCTCCTAAACTCGATGTGGAAACGGTGCTGGTATGCCACCAATAGCTGAGCTGCAGATCCAATATCCCGTCAATTACCCCTAATGAACATTTAGGATAGTATTCGGGGGTATATTAGTTACAAGTACAGTCAAACCTGTCTTAGTGGCCACCTTTATACAAAACTAACTGTCTTTTAACCCTTACTGTACTGGGGGGGGGGGGGCCTGGGAGGCCCCCCCCCCTCGACATTTTCGGAGATTGCGCCGCAACCGCTCGGAATTTTAAATTGTCGTTTCATGACTTTTTTCCCTCAAGTCTTACGCACATTTTGATACCATTTTCGTCGAAATCGGATATACCCGTAAGGTGTTACATAACAATTAGTATGCGCATGTCATCAAAAAAGTGCTATAATTGCATATGTTCATGTACAAGCAGAAATGTGAAGATATGAATTGATATTAAATTGCTTTTATATGTTTCTCAAAGTAACTTGATGTATTTCAGAACAAAAAAATACATTAAAAATAAAACAATAGATATAATAAGAAATAAAAAACAATACAATACATAAGAAAATAAATAGTTGAAAATCGCATCAAATTTGCAAAAATTATCATTATTAATTACATCAAATAACTATTTTGTGTTAGAAAAGAAGTTTTATATGAATAATGAGTTTCAAAATTCAAAAAGGGGAGTCTGACAATTTTTGTAATGATTCTAGTTCCCTATATATATATTTCCAGATTTGATATTCATGAATGCGTATTCATAATTTATGCAAATTAACCTATGCATTTTCAAATATCATAAAAATAATGAAACCTCATGAATTTGAGATGAAGGAAATATTTATTCAATACATTTTCAAGATTCTTCACAAGTCTACGGACAAATATGTAGAGTTTTCTGTAAAATGCATAAAATTAGCATTTTGCATAATTAATTAGGCTATAACGACAAAAATTTGCATATTCGGAAAAAACTAATTATACCATCTTGTTCCTTACACAAACATGCAAATTTTCGCGGTCATCGGACATTCGACGGCCGAGATCATAGGGGGGGGGGCCTCCCAGGCCCCCCCCCCCCCCCCCCCAGTCAGAGAGTGCTCGAAATAGCCCAGTACAGTAAGGGTTAAAGCTAAAGACCAGTTATGGTCATGCGATTGCATTGTGAAAGAAACGTTGTGGAATGGATCAGAAAAGGTTGATCATCTAGCATAAAATATAAGTTTTGGTGTGTACTGCAAGGTTCTAGAATCATCAAAATGATAAGAAAATTGGTTGAGTCTTCTTAAATTTACAAGCACTATACACAGAAAGGTGTATATGGGACTATACGCACACGTGCGCGACACATGCGTTTATCTCTCACAGACCATAGATAAACTAATTTACCAAATATATCAATTAGTAGGCGGTTACCCGTCAAATTTGTTATCATCATGTATTAGTAAAAACATATTCTTTCACATGATTGGTAACAAAGAGCTTCCATTTCATTTTTTGAAATTGGGGCATTTCCAATACTGGTCTTTACCTTTAAACAAGCCACACATTTTGTCTCACTCAAGAAAGAAATGTGTGTTGAAGAACCTGTTTACAGAGGTTAATTTATGTTTCCCTTAGGTGGCTGCAGACAGATTTGACTGTATGTAGTTCTAATAATCATTGTCTTTTATCTGATTCTTAATTATTAAAAGGGGGAAGGGTAGTATCAGGGAAGGCCAAAATCTTTCGCTACCTGGATACCCTTAAATGCCTTTTTACATGCAAATAACTTTCATGTAGTGTTCTACACTAGTTTGGAACATTGTTTGCTGATAGAACCATAACATTTGTGTAGCAAAAAAATATTTGTGCTTAAGAGCAGTATATAAACATCTAAGATTGAGGCAAAATGCCTTCACTGTAAAAGCAAGTGCCCTAACATAGGCCATGTAAACTTGATGTATGTTTTGAATACCTTACACCTCATCCTCAATGTCTTCTTCATTATCATCATCATCATCGTATTCACCTTCACTTTCATCTGAATATTCCTCTCCTCCTTCCATCTCTGCCTCTTCTTCCTCCTCCTCCCCATCTATCCCATCATCCCTACCATAATAATCATTACCCTCTCTGTCCCCTTCCCCACTATGAACCTCCCCATCTATCCCATCACCCCTCCCATAATAATCATTACCCTCTCTGTCCCCTTCCCCACTATGATCCTCTCCTGATATGGAACCATCATCTTCGCTTCCATCTTCCACCCCTCCCATGTCAGAGGCACTACCCTTGTCACCTTCCTCGGGCGCAACGTCACCATCGCCTACTAAAGCCTCAGGGTGCTTCTCTCGTCTGTGCCTGACCATGAATTTCCTCTTTGTGTAAACATTGCCACACACATTGCAACCATGAGGGTGGGTTAGGTGCAGGATGACATGGTCTGTCAGGAAATTCTTGTCCGGTGTCTGGAACCCACATCTTGGACAGGTGTTTCCCTGGACTTGAAGATTCTCGGGAGAAGTGACGCTCTCCAGGAGCCCAGAGATTTCATCCTTGTTTGGTTGTGCTACCTCTCCTATGAAGAGATGCAAGTGCTTTGCTCTTTGGTGTCTGCGTAAGGTGCTATTGCGTGTGTACACAATGCCACACTCGATGCATCCATATGGAAATCTACGATGCTTGGAAATGTGCTTCTGAAGAACTGCCTTCTGTGGAGTGTAAAAGGCACATTTAGGGCAGGCGTTCTTGTGCCTTGCGTGTGTCAAAGTTGCTCTTCGCCCTATGCTTCGATCTATTTCCTTATTATCCAGATATTGGTCCTGATGCTTCTCCTGATGATGTCTAAGGAGTGACTTTTTAGTCATGTAAGTATTCCCACACTTCCTGCAACCATGCGGGTAAGTGACGTGCTTGCTGATGTGTTCCGTGAAGCGCTCCTCATCGGCTGTCTTAAAACCACACATTTCACAGCATTCAACATCACGTAAAGCCTGTGGATCACTAGCCCTTCTCGGGTACTTGTGGGTTTGTTTGTGCTCTTGGAGAGATTTCTCATCGCGGCAGGTAAATCCACATTCCTTGCACCGGATACCCTGTACAGTCTGTTCAGCAAGGTACTTCAGAATATTCTCTCTCCTCTGTGGCGTTAGGAACCGTTCCTGCGAGGCACCATGCTTCAGTCGTAGATGTTTGTACAATTTGCTCCTACCCGCGTACATGCAACCACATTTTTCACATCCATAAGGTTTGTCTCGATGCTGCGCCATGTGCTCTCCAAGCAATCCTTGCGAACTGGCCACGTAGTTGCAGATGTTGCAACGATTGGCTGCATTCTTTTTAGCAGACTCCTTGCCTGTGATGGTTTTTTCTTGAGGAGCTTTGCCAGCTGTATAGTTCTGCATGAATGCATTGACGTTGCGTCGGGCGCGTATGTAAACGCCCCCATGGAGCTCTCGCTGATGACGGTACATGTAGGTCTTGCGGGTGTATAGATTCCCACACTGTTTGCACATAAAGCGATGAGTTTTGTGTTTCTTCTTGTGAACCTTAAACTTATGCTCATTGTCAAAAGTGAAACCGCAGATTGGACATTTAAGTCCATCTCCATCGTCTCTGTAATCAGCACCATTGTCATCAAGATCGTCTTCCTCACTATCATTGTCTGCTTCATCGTCCCCACCATGAAACGACTCATGCATGACCAAACGACCATGGGTGGGGAAGTTCTTGCCGCAGGTTGGGCAAATGAATCGCTGGGAATCACCATCATCCTGTATTTTCCTCTTAGCACTATGGTTAACCTGAACTCTTTGGACATTCTTCGTCGATGGTTCCTTCTGAACCGGTGGCGTGGGATCTTGTCCATCATTGTTCTTTTCTGTTGCTTCAGTGTTGTCCTCCTGAGTCTCTTCATCTTCTTCTTCCTCCTCCTCTTCTTCATACTGCGGTGGTAGCTTACACTGTGCATTCAGCAGCTTCAGTCTCTCTGCAACCTTCAGAGGCAGTGCTTTCTCCTCCTGCAGACCATCATCGGGATGGGTAACCTTGTAGTGTCTCACCATGCTCTTGGAGTTGTCAATCTTTACATTGCACATGGTGCAGGAAAAGCTGTCTGTGTCTGAATGAGAAGGAAAATAAAAACAAACAAAAAGAAGTTAGTAAATAACAAACATGAAACCCTTTAATCAAACATACAATCTGCATTCCACCATGAGAGATTGTCTTAAATTACTATAAGCCACCTTGCACACTTCTTGTCTATAAAACAGCCAAAGAGTCATACATAAATGAGTAACCAATGACATACCTGCCAACATTTGAAAATAAGAATTAGGAATTTCTAGCACGGTATGCCTTAAAAAATAAGAAATCGCGGCACATGATAAAGCAAGCTTAATTTGGCTTAAGCACAACAACCCCCCCCCCAAAAAAAAAAAAAAAAAAAAAAAAAAAAATCACAATTTTGAAAAGTTGCAGTCGGAATATTCCGAATTTTTGGTCTTAAAAATCCAGAAAATCAGAATATTCTGAATTACTTGGAAGGGCTGGCAGGTATGAAATGATAACTTAAAGCATCTAGCATTTCACCTGTTGATTCTGAACTTGAACTAATGCCTACATTGTACATTACACGGGCTGCAATCTATGAAAACTGTAATCTTAGAAGGCTTCCATGGAGAGGATAGATTTGAGCAAGGTTTGCAGTTACACCACCTATTTTGTCGACAGGGTTAGTTGACCCTGACAAGGGCCCACCCATGCTTTCAACATTTCAATAGGTTGTACCTATTGTCTTCGGGATGAGTGTGTATGGTTGGATAGGGGTTTATATACCCTTGGGTAGGGTCCACAGCACCAGTCAAATGGTTCTGAATGGTTGGCTAAGGATGGATTCTGATTGGCTGTTGGTCGGAATAACCCTGTCGAAAGAATATGTGGTGATACTGGTGTAACTTGCAAGTCTCGCTCAAATCTATGAAAACCGGTTGTCAAATTATATCTAATGGAATATCATTGAAGAACACATAGAGCTCATCAAGACAGTTACCAATCATCTGCTCTATCTACACATGCCAGGATAAACCTCTCCAACTTTATAGAGACAAGATTAACTGACCCAAAACATAGTGCTGCACATTTCAGTATCTAATATTCACTGAATATAAGTAGTATAATTTCTTGCACACAAATTTTCATTTCAAACATAGGATTTACTGTGGCTTAGGCAGGCCAGGATTTTTTTTCTCACAAAGATCCTAAGTTGAACTTAACAATTATGGAAAGCCATTAGCATCTTTAAAAATGTTTTGTAAAAGTTATTTTAAAAGGCATAAAATGATGATTCAAAACATTCATATTTTCTATTATCAACAAGATTTCATGCTATTGATGTTGAATTTAAGAAAAGTCTAAAATACTTGAAATTTTGCCTTTGAATATATTTTGTTTTAAGGCTACAAATGGCTCTCCATAATGTTCAAGTCCGATGTAGTGTTAAGTTCCACTTAGGATTTTGGTGAAACACTCCCCTGCTGGTCTTATTGTACCTTTATTATAATTCAGGGCAGCCAAGTCATACATGAATCCACAGTTCTCTCTGTAAACATCACTGTAGAAGACCTTCAGTTCAGCGCCCGGTTCGATCCTTCTGATCACCGTGAAGTGAATCCGTCCATAGACCTGACCTGCCTCAAGGTTGTATTCCTCAAGGAAGTGAGCGTTGCGGACGTAACCCATCCATTCCTTCCTCGGTGTGGGTGCAATGTAAGCGGCCACCATTCCATCCAGGCATAGCTGATGAGAGAGAGAGAGAGAGAGAGAGAGAGAAGAAAAATGAAATCACATTTATTTCAACATAACAATGAACCGTCAAAGTGGAAAAGCTGCACTAACCAGGGAATAATTTTCCTGGTATTGCATAGTAATTTGCTATGCATTTTTGCATGATTGCTATACAAAATATCTTTTGTGTAGCAGTTTTCTTCCATAGAAATGTACAGAATTTCATTTGAAATATTTATCCATCAGCTGAAATTGCTAATCAAAAAATTTGAGGAAAATTATTCCCTGACTAACGATTGAAATACATGTCTGCAAGTCAATGAAAAAGTCCTGTCAATAGGCTACCGGTATACAAAAAAATTAAGTTAGATATTTGGATTTCACAAAAACTGCCACTATTATTATCAAGGGCAATGATGTTTTTGTTATAATGAAAATCGATAAGACATCACTGCACAACATATATTGTATAACAACGTACCGGTAAGAGAAAATGCTGTCCTTGTCCTTATCAAATGCTGTTAAAAAACTTTCATTTTACAGATATTGATATATTTTAATGTTTTACTTGTAACATCACGGATATCTCCAATTCCGTTTAACCGCCAGTTAAAATCGGACGGTTTTTCGATTAAACGATTTATATATATATATATATATATATATATATTTTTTTTTTTCTTTTTTCTTTTTTCTTCAAAATTTGTGTTTTAATTGGAAAATCATAAGAAATCACATTGTTAACAAATAATGTACATAATTAGAAAGAAAATCACTGAACAAAAACAGAGACTTAACTGTCAGGCATGCTTTGAAACAATGACTGGGTTTCACTTTGTTTATGAAGCTAATGAATCTAGTACGCACGTGTATTCATGTTTATAGCTCGGGATCGTGATATTGCAAGGTCAGGATCTGGGATTAAAATGGCATCAGTGAAGTATTGTGCATGTATTTCAAGGCTGGGAACTTAGTTTTACGAGTCAACTTCTTAATCTACAATCTTGCAGTTGATTGTTATCGTGTAGATTGTTGCTCTGCAATTAAACATTCAAGAGTCAGGGCTGACTTATGATGACTGTAATGTCGCCCAAACTTGTTTTTGTTCAGTGATTTTGTTTCTAATTATGTACATTATTTGTTGATGATGTGATTTCTTATGATTTTCCTGTAAAAAAAATAATAACAAAACAAATTTAAAAAAACGGGAGAACGAAACCGTCCAATTGAAAACGGATAGCGCCATGGACGGTCGGATACCGGACGGTTAAACGTTTGACTACAGCACTAATATATTCAATCTGTTTTCACCGAAGCTTGTTTGGAGCTCTAAATAGTTAAATTACTCGGCATTCCCTTTCTTTCTCTTCTCTAATGCACCTACCTCCCAAGCCTGTGTGTTATGTAGGCAGTCCAACGTCTTCACGTTTCCTTTCAGAGGTCCATACACCTGCCCTGGCTCGATGGACCTGGTAGCAATGACACGGACATCATTGGGATCCTCCGAGTACTGGTCATAGCTGAGCCCATCCGGAGGTTGGCCTCCCTTACGCAGGAGGGTCTGTATCAGGGAATTGGCCTTCGGGGCATACTTAAGACGCCGCAGCTCTGCCGTTTCGAATGCAGAAGGTTCCTTGACAGATCCTGCGATGACCGCTTCCTTCCGCATCATCGGATCTACATTGGCACTTGGTTCGCCCGTAGCCTCAGGGTTGTTTGGTGGCTGCAATGATGCACAGGTACTTGGTGATGATGTAGATGAAGCCATGTCCATGTTACTGACCATATGGCTGTGGTCAAGTGGTGCATTGTCCATTGCGATTGCAGACCCTATGACCAGGTTGGGTGGGCACTCTTTGGTAACTCCTAGTGATGACTGGAGATGATCCACAGCAGAGGACGCCACTGCAAAGTTGGGATGGTAGAAGTAAGGGTTGGCCGTGAGGGCTTGTTTCTTGAAGGCATCAGATCGCTGATGATCCAGAGGGTCCACGTTTCCTGGAATGACGGCTAGTGAGTCCGCTTGCTGGTAAACTAGGAAAGGTAAGGACATGATTGTGAGTCTCATTAGTTTTTTTTAATCATGTTGAATTGAATTGAATTTCTTTATTGTCATGCACAAAATAAAATGAAGGCATAAAAATCGTTTTACAGCTCACATTTGTATAAATATAACAATACATTAACATATCATAGACAGTAAGCACAAATAACATAAATAACATAACAATGTAATATAATTTAACCTCTCTGTTGAGAGCCAGGGGAATTATTTGATTATTTGTACTCCCCTGGCTCCCAACAGACAATACTAACTTAAATAAATGTTAACCAATTGACTACTGAATTCTTTCATTCCCACAGGCATATTAAAAACAAATGAACAATTCACTTCCTGTAAGCAATGGGTTAACAAACTGCACATTAAAGGTACTATGTCCCTTTTGCAGCCAACCTCAAATTCTGTAGAACTTTGCAGGAATTATGAATATGTCATAAATGTCCTATCTGTGAAATTTAAACGTTAGCAGTGTCCTCATATTCAAATTATGCAAGGAAACCTGTTTACTTGCTAGACTTCACTGTCAGACACTATTGAGTGACTGACTGGCCTTTTTTCTTCTTTGGTAATAACATACATAAAAAGAGTTGTAAAGGGTACATGAGCATTTGTCTACATCAATAACCCACTTCTTGCGATGGCCAAGATTAAACTGATTGAATCTTTGCGCAGCATAAAACGTATGACCATTCGGTACAATTGTCTGAAAATCAAGACTATTACTTTTGGGCTCTATAGCCCTAAAGTCGATTTGACAACTAATAGTCGTTATTTTCCCACTTGAAGACATTTTCAAGCCCCACCTTTTTTAGGTAAGTTCTAAATTAGTATTATCTTTCAAATGCAGATGGAATTTAACTTTTTCATTTTTTGGGCCTGCAAATGGGACATAGTACCTTTAACAACAAATGAACAATTCACTTCCTGTAAGCAATGGGTTAACAAACTGCACATTAAAGGTACTATGTCCCTTTTGCAGCCAACCTCAAATTCTGTAGAACTTTGCAGGAATTATGAATATGTCATAAATGTCCTATCTGTGAAATTTAAACGTTAGCAGTGTCCTCATATTCAAATTATGCAAGGAAACCTGTTTACTTGCTAGACTTCACTGTCAGACACTATTGAGTGACTGACTGGCCTTTTTTCTTCTTTGGTAATAACATACATAAAAAGAGTTGTAAAGGGTACATGAGCATTTGTCTACATCAATAACCCACTTCTTGCGATGGCCAAGATTAAACTGATTGAATCTTTGCGCAGCATAAAACGTATGACCATTCGGTACAATTGTCTGAAAATCAAGACTATTACTTTTGGGCTCTATAGCCCTAAAGTCGATTTGACAACTAATAGTCGTTATTTTCCCACTTGAAGACATTTTCAAGCCCCACCTTTTTTAGGTAAGTTCTAAATTAGTATTATCTTTCAAATGCAGATGGAATTTAACTTTTTCATTTTTTGGGCCTGCAAATGGGACATAGTACCTTTAACAACAAATGAACAATTCACTTCCTGTAAGCAATGGGTTAACAAACTGCACATTAACTGAAATATATCATCCTAATCGGGAGCGCCAGGAGTGTCAAGTCTGACAGACATGAGCGCTATACAAGAACCCACTATTATTATTATTATAATTCGCATGGCACTGGCTTGTTTCAAATATCGTTTAGTCTACAAAAGTTCTGTAATTTGGGGTCATAAATGTACATGTGTACATGTACGTTATTGCCAAAATGTAAACTCTAGAGTCTAGACTGTAGTTTTAAAGGAAGTTGCAGATTTAAAGGGACCCTCAGTGAACAGTAAAACATCTTGTTGAGTAGACTATTTAATACACATGTACAGTACGCACTCTCACAGAATAGATCACCAAGTCAGACTTGGGTTTCTGTACATGTATATGCGGGTTTTATTTAACCCTGTATTTCCTTCAGAATACTATTCCATTTACCTAATAGAATTGCTAGACAAAGTCTTTTGGGGTCGGTTTTTTATACATTCTAGCTTTCTTTGAGGTGCTTGGTACACGTTAAACCCAAAACAAAAAGAATTAAGACCAAAGGAAAGCTACCCACTTCTGTTATCAATCCTTGGAGGTAGCCTGGTAATAACATCCCGCTGATGCAGCATGGCTGCTTGCTGCTGCTGTTCAGGATGACCTGCTGCAATCAAGCTGGCTGCATAGGCATGTTGAAAGGACGGGCCAGGACCGGCAGGAAAGTGGTGCGTGGACGCAGGAGGATAGCGGTAGTCTTGTGAAGAGGATGGTCGCCCGTGGCTCGGATGACCTTTGTGATGAGGCTCCATTGCATTGAGATTCAGTTGACGATCCAAAGCAGAGATTTCATTTCAGGGTTTCTGCAGTGAAAAGGTTTATTGATAGAAAAAATTTACAAACGTGTCGATAGAATGGCCCCCCTGTATTTATGCCAACGTTTCACAAAACCCCAATTCTCAGGACCTCGTAGAAAGCCTAGCATATAGCAGTAACAATAACATTCGAAGCAAGCTTCATTTCGTGCAACACAAGTCAAGGGGGACCTAGCCCGCTGGGCAGGCCCGGGAAAACGCCCAGCTAGATGCGACGGGTTGGGTCAATTAAAAAAAGCGTTCGTGATTTCTGAAAACTTGCTATAAAAAGCATAATATAGTCACACAAATATAATTTCAAAGGTCATCATATTTTAAGTATATTTATGTGGCAAAATAATTGTTAAAACTTACAAATCACGAAAGTGAACTCCAAATCATCGAGAAATGTAGAAGAAACAACAGCGCCCGCAACACCATAAATTCTGTGCTAAATGCACGGTATGGTAGCGCTAGATGTATACTGTATACGTAGGTACCGTATATACGCATTTGATCTGTGCTAGATCATTCCCGTGCTAAAAAATTCCTCGGCGAAAGTGCTTTTACTTTAGAGTCGGGGCATTTATTTGCGCGTAGGCAGGGGGGCCGGGGGGGGGGGGGGGGGGGGTGGTGGTTTTGGGGTTAACCCCCCCCTTCAGTTGTTTTATGTGTATGTTTTTTGGGGAAACCCCCTCCCCCTCCCAACGAAACGGAATGTCGATCAGTCAAATTTTCAAATTTTGGGACCCCCCCCCCCCCAAAAAAAAGAAATATGTCCTCTTACCCCCCCCCCCACCCCCGCTTATTCAGCAGCTGGCTGAGTTGTTGCGAAATTTTTGGGGCCCCTCCCCCCCCTCCCAAAAAAAGGTCCTCTTACGCCCCCCCCCCCCCCCCCGGCTTATAGAAAAAGCGAAAAGAATCCATTTAATGTTTCGTTTTGCTATAGTTTATAGGATAACCCATGGACAGGGGCAGCGATTTCTTTTCATGACCACAGGGACTCCGACGAAAAGCGGTGGATGAGGGAGCAGTGGCGTAATCGGGGCGTAATGACCAAAAACGTTTGGGGGGGGGTGAGAAAAAATTTGCATCACCACCATTCTTACATGTCACATGAAGGCCCCGCGTAACGTTTTTCAAAGTGGGGGGGGGGGCTAAAGTATTTACGATCAGGTAGAGCAAAGAAAGTGGAGCGTAAATTGGCGCCTGGCCGGGGTGAAGGGGCAGAGCCCCATAAAGCTCAGGGGTTTTAGGCATTTAATAACGGTCAAATGAGCATCCATGCAGGGCGGCTCACCTTAGGCCCCTATAGTTGGGTCCAGGGGACAGAGCCACAGGAAGCTCAGGAAAAATTGGGGGGGGGGGGAATCCCCCCTAAAAAAAAATTGAGGGGGGAGGTGCCGTCCCCCGGGATTGCCGCCCCCGTGCCCATGTGTGGACTATAGTACATGTATGTGCAGTTCCATAGTTGGTTATTCCACTTATTTTTTTTTTACATGTTTATTTGTTTTTGTTATATAGATAGCAATGGTTCTGTATTGATAAAATGCACTGGTATTTATAACTTTTGGAAAATAGCAGAAAATATGGTAAATTGGGTCCTACAGACTCAGGGGCGGATCCAGGAATTTCTTGCGGGGGGGGGGAGGGGGGAAGGGGGGCACACGTTGGAATAGAGAACATTTTTTTTTTTTTTTTAGTCCCCCCCCCCCCAAAAAAAAAAAACGACTCAGGGGGGGGGGGGGGGGGGGTAAGGTCACCTTTTTAGGTCAGCCATTGCCTTTTGTACATCAAATTTCACAATTTTTTTGTTTTCTTCTTATTTATTTGTGTTCTTGATCTGACTCCATAAAATGTGAAGTAGAATATCATTTTGCATTCTATATCTTGCTTTCAGGGGAGTAGATTATCTCAATCACAAGAAACTGATGTTTAGGTAAGCATTAAAGCTTTTTGACATATAACCCGTGATTCTGGTCTGATTTCTTTAGAGCAGTGGAACGTAGACAAACGGGTGAGAATCAGTGACTGTTAGGTGATTACGAAGCATGGATGATTGATTGCTCGAGGGATGATCAATTGGTTGATGCTGTGCTCAAGACGTTTGGGTGACCGATTGCAGTCGACGGATGATTGATTGTTGATACGCCTGTGATGCCTGTGAGAAGTAAATGATAACTCCAGCCATCAAGCAATGGTTATATATTTTGACCAATCGGACGGAGAGCTCTTGGCCTGGCACGGGGCATCCTGACAAATATTCCGTGTCACCCAAGGTGGCGAACCGTGTCCGTCACAATATATTTTTTATCGTAATTATTCCATTTTATATGATTTGACCAACGTTCTAACCTGTTCCATAACAAACCTGCATGCGTACTTTTTCAGTTTATGGATCTTATAATAATAATAATAATAATAATAATAATAATAATAATAATAATAATAATAATAATAATAATCTTTAATGGTCCACTCCAAATTTATTAAACCGAAACGGAAATTTATTTTGCCCATTTGATCGTGAGCCCGGCAGCCACTGAGCAGCGCCAGATCGACGTTGCTCTATCCCTATTTATTATTATTTTGACAGTTGCAATATAATAATTTCCTCTCTGTTTTAGATTATGTTTAGGCCTACTTGCCATAATTGGTTCAACATTTCAAGCTATTTTTTACAGTTATTCATCCATCTACCATCATTTAAAGGTACTATGTCCCTTTTGCAAAATGCTGTAGAACTTTGCAGGAATTATGAATATGTCATGTATGTCCTATCTGTGAAATTTAAACGTTAGCAGTGTCCTCGTATTCAAATTATGCAAGGAAACCCGTTTACTTGCTAGACTTCACTGTCAGACACTTTTGAGTGACTGACTGGCTTTTTTCTTCTTTAGTAATAACATACATGAAAAGAGTTGTAAAGGGTACATGAGCATTTGTCTACATCAATAACCCACTACTTGTGATGGCCAAGATTAAACTGATTGAATCTTTGCGCAGCATAAAACGTATGACCATTCGGTACAATTGTCTGAAAATCAAGACTATTACTTTTGGGCTCTATAGCCCTAAAGTCGATTTGACAACTAATAGTCGTTATTTTCCTACTTGAATACATTTTCAAGCCCCACCTTTCTAAATTAGTATTGTCTTTCAAATACAGTTGTAATTTAACTTTTTTATTTTTTGGGCCTGCAAATGGGACATAGTACCTTTAATAAGGATAATGATAGTAATCATGTTGAAATAGATGATGGTGATAATACCTTTGCCCTTCGATCGTATTATTGTTTTACCACTACAATGCATGTACTATGTGGAGAATCTCGAATATGGAAATACATTATAGTTATAACGGGGGTATTTCACAAAGATCCTAAGTTGAACTTATCTCTAAGTTGGACTTAAAAATTATGGAAAGCCATTAGCATCTTTGAAAATATTTTGTAAAAGTTATTTTGAAAGGCATAAAATGTTGATTCAAATCATTCATATTTTCTATTATCAAGGAGATTTCATGTTCTTGTTGTGGAAATTATAAAAAGTCTAAAATACTTGAATTTCTGCTTTTGAATATATTTCATTTTAAGGCTCCAATGGCGGTCCATAATTTTTAAGTCCAACTTAGAGTTAAGTCCAACTTAGGAACTTTGTGAAACACCCCCATGTCTATTATTGTTATTAGTACATCATCATTTCTATCATCATTATCACCTATATCAACATGATTTTCCAATCAGCATGTCTGCTATCATTATCCTGATTTTCCCATGCCATATGTAAGAAATCTTTGATCATTCCTCCTATTTTGACAAACACATATATGTTCATTTGCCCATGCTGCCCCAGTTTTATGGAATAGCCTCCCAGACTCACTTAGAAACATTGTCACAATAAATAAGTTTAAGTCCACCCTAAAAACACATTTATTTTAATTGTTGTAAAAAGTAAAAGGAACTCGGTACCCAATATTTCTCATAGGGACCTACTTTGTAATGTATTATGCGCTATATAAAAACGAATTATTATTATATGTGTATGGGACACATCGCATGGAACCGTTCATCTGCTGCTGATTGAACGGTCACACAAACTTTACAAAATAGCACACAAGATAATTCCTTTCAATTTCCTGAATTTTATTGAATACTTTCTGGAATTCAAAAGCATAATCCCAGCTTAAATGGTCACCATTATTCACATCATTACATAGGTTTACAAAAAGACTCGACTGAAACAAGAAAACAAATACCTGAAGTATATATTGATGATATAGGCTCACACAATGTACAGGATAAAAAAATGAAGCACACAAAACAGTAGATTCAGCTTTGGTTGCTAATCTTAAGGTGTTTTGTTTGTTTACATGATTTTAAATAATTCCTCTTCACCAAACTATGATATCTCCATTTTAACTTTAATAAAGTGATGTTACAAATTTACTCACATCTTTTCACTTCACCCAAGCTAAACATGAGATAAAATGAAGAGCAAGTACAGGGTTCCTGGATGATGTTTAGTTAGTTTTGGAGTTCTGGCAACGAGAAAAAGAAATTTGCACGGAATAACAAAGTTCATTAGTCAAATAAACAATAACAATAGTGGGTTCTTGTATTAATGTCAGTCAGACTTAACACTCTTGGGACTCGTTTCCTGGGACTCGTTTCCAAAAGCCTTTTTTCAATGAAAAGTGACAAAAATCTGCTGATAACCAATCAGAAGCAAGGATTTCACTAGCTTTTAACAAAAACTGTCATTTGTCACTGATGACAAATTTTGTGAAGTGGGGCCCTGGTACTCCACTATTATTACCCTGGCTTTAGCATGGCTGCAGTTATGGCACTCTAGCATTTCAAGGAATGAATTCTTGCCAGGTACCCATTTACGTTACCTGGGTCGAGTTACAAAATCATCCCGACCCATGTTGAAAAAGTGGAGTCTTATTGGATGTGATTTCTTGGATCTTATATGGCGTTAGTGCCTTTTTACATGACTGTTCTGATGTAGGCAACCCACTTTAATATTGCATTATAACTCGCCATTACTCTGAACCAATTTCTCCCAAAATAGAATTTCATCACCAGAAATTCTAGAATACACTCAAGAATAGTTTTTTTTCGTGCTTAGAACCTTTTCCATTTAAACATTAGATAATCATTCACATTTTCTTCTTGATTGTGCTGCATACACATAAATAAATGCATGTACATCAAAAATTCAATTAGAGGTACTTTCAAATGTTAAACACGAGTACCATTAGATGGACCATGATTTGGGCAATACATGTTTATATCCGATTGCTATGTGATTCCAATATACATGTACATGTACATTTCACTTGTTCACAAATACAATGACAGTTGAGGAATGCTTCATCCAGCATTCACACCAAAACTAGCTTTACCTTCTGTATTTATGTAATAAAGACACCACATGCATTTTTTTCTACTGCTTTTGGACATAAATATGTTCTCTGCCAACGTTGATTTCATACCTGTACTTGTCAATTGAGGTTAGTTTATTGCCTATACGCAGCATAATGTATCATTTGTCATCTCATACTTTGCCATTTCATTTCAGTATCATTGTGATTTGTGTTTTAAACAACACATTTTAAATTTAAGAATGTGTTCTTCTATTTTCACTGTTTAAACCAGGGGTGGTATTCTGAAAATGGTGTTATTTTTTTATGTTAGTAAAACAATGATAATTGTCATAACAAATACAAATTATTTGGTTAAGGTCTGTGCAAAGCTGACTGTGTTCGCGTGAACTTAAAGCCTATCTGCACAAGCTTGGCCAGGAGGGTTTAGACCTCCCTGCATGGTCACTGACAGGTTGTTATCTCAATTAACATAAGAAAAGGGGACCATGGGGGATCAACAGGTACCACTTGGGCATTGTTGGCTGTAAAGAGGGCACAAGTAGCTACAAGTAGTGCAGTCCCACTTTAAAATTTATCTGCCATAGTTTACAGGAGGGATTAGAGCGCCCTGCAAGGTCACTGGACAGGTGGCTATCTCATCAACTCAGCTCTCAGTTAACATAAGTAAAAGAGGATCATGGGGGACCAATGGTCACCGATTAGGCATTGTTTGTTGTATAGAGGGCACAAGTAGCTACAAGTAGTGCAGTCCCACTTTAAGAGAGACATCTCCACAAGCACAAATGGAAAGTGTAAGCTCAGCGCAATTGGAGATTGCTATGATAATTAATATTGTTTTAAAACAAAACATCTTGTTCAAAATACCACCTCTGAATAAAACATTTTCCTTTGAGTCAAACTCCATATTCAGATCATCTGCCCGATACAGGGAAGGTAGGAGTATTATTTCAGTTAAATTTCAATAAAATTAAGTTGCTTGAAGAGCACAACTTCTTAAAATGGAGGAAAAGATAAGGTTCAATTGTGCCAAAATCTTTTGAATACCAGTTTTAATTTCAAGGGTGGGAACATGCCACTATTAAAACTAAAATATACAAATATATCTGTCGGAATAAGGAATATTACTCTAACCTATTATAACAAACAAATCTTCAGCATGTGTTATTGTTGACCTTAGAGGAAATAATATGAATTAGAATGATGATTGTCACAGTGACAGAGTCTAACCCTAAGCAAGGAAGTTCCAAATGTTCAACTCCACGTCACCTCTGGGCCAATCAGAATCCAGCTTTCAATAAAAAATTCACCTAGCTTTTAAAGCTCAACTCTGATTGGTTAAAGACAGATCTTCCATTATTTTTATTTTTTATCTTGATAAGCATTATTGGTCAGAAAACACAATGATTTACAAAATATGCGTTACATCGTTTTGCACAAAAATAATGTATAATCATAATTATTGGGTTTGTTCAAAAATGCATTCAGATATTCCCTGAGCATTCTAGCACCCAGTGACAGTTCCAGCTTGATATTATCTCTTGATCTTCTTTTTCATTTCAAGAAATGAAGGCTTACATTAATGTTGCCATGCCAGATAAGATTCATGCAAGGTAATTTAATACAATTCATAAAAGAAATATCTATTGAGAATACATTTTGCAATTTTGGGCCTCTTGCAGTTGTAGGTAAACCTAAAATATCAAAAGGGTGAGTACGGTAGTTAAAATGCTATACATTATTTTGTTGTTGTTTTGTTTGTTTTTGGAGATGTGTGTAATTGAAACATTTTATACAAAGCATCTTTTGGTAATGACTGAAAGAAACCAGCTGGATAATTAAATAGTGGAGGGCCAATCAGGGACCCGCTTCACAAACCCTTTTTTCAATGACAAATTACGAAAATCAGTGACAAATCTGCTGATGACCAATCAGAGGCAAAGATTTCAGTAGCTTATAGCAAAAAACTGTCATCCGTCACTGATGACAAGTTTTGTGAAACGGCACCCCGAGCTGCTTTATTTTATGAACATTAACTAGAAAATCAGACTTGTGGGAAGGACGGTTACAGCTGAAACCAATGCGGAAGAGAATTACTTGGCCGACGTTGCTGCCTTCTCAATGAAATTGGCCATGTTGACATCGTTGTCGGAGAGACCACCGACATCGTGAGTGCTGAGGGTGATGTCCACACGGTTGTAGACGTTGAACCATTCTGGATGATGGTTCATGGTCTCAGCCTTGAGTGCCACCCGGGTCATGAAACCAAATGCCTGAAGAGAGAAAGAGAGAGAAAGAGAGAGAAAGAGAAAGATCTCATGATTTTACTGATTTGACCAACATAATCTCACAAATGAAAATATTTCCATAATTAGCTACTTTCGAGAAATTCAAGAATTCATTAAAACTTTACAACTTCTAGGCAAGTGCTAAGTAATTAATAGAAGTGATGACGAGGGATGGTATGATGAAAGAGAAATGTAAAATAGAGACATAAGAAAGGCTGAAAGAAGTGGGAAATACAAAGAAGAGAAAGAAAGAGGGTACTCAATTGGGGGAGGGGTGACGATGATGCACGAGGAGGAGTACAAACTATTGTTAAACCAGAAACTTGTGCAAGCATGACGCTTTCTGGATTAAAAAAAGAAAATTGCATATAAAAATCTGTCCTTAACAATCAACAAAGAAATAATTTTTGGAAAATGAAATTTCCCTGATTAAGGTGATTAAGGTGATGAAGGGAGGGGGAGAAGGGAGGGGGAGAAGGGAGGGGGAGGGGGGAGGGGCAGCATTCACAAATTATGATACACTGCAAGAAACGAGTGTCAGAGGATCTCGATTTTACCTGATTGAAGTTTCCAAAAGTGAATTCCTTCTGGATTGCATCTCTCCCTTCCACCTCCTTCCAGCCTGCACCAGTCAGGGCAGAGAGCTTCTGAGATCGATCATCTCCACTCAGCTTTACTCGCTTTGCTTCAGACGCCTAACAATGAAACAACCAAAAAGATGTATGCGTTGGTCATGTAATAGCAGTAATAATATTCAGCTTTTACATAGCGCTTACAATGTCTCTTAGCGCTTTACAGATACTATTATCCCGGTCATTGGATTCAGTGCTTGCCCACACACATTGTGTGCACAATCTCTACTCCCTGGGGAGCATTCCAGCCAGGCGATACTTGACGTTCAAAAATGACGGACGCACCCTACTGGGTACCCATTTAACACCGGGATGGCAAGTAAAAAGTGCAGGTTTATATATTGCCAAAGGATATTAGTGTCGTGTCTGGATTCAACCCTCGACCTTCGCATCTCCAGTCAAGTGCCTTAAACCACTCGGCTACAACATGTATTGCCATTCTCTTATTTCTAGTTTTGCCGTTTCTTGAAGCTGTCATAAGACAGCACACTTCTTGACTAAATCAGTGTTAGTACGCCATTTGTCTGCTATGCGTACCGGTACTAAAAATCCCTCTTTGTCAAGATAAAGGACAACATCCTGGCTAAGTAGTTATGACGCCTCTGACCCTGTCATATCTCTGTCATAACTGTTCAGGGGCTAATGTACACGGACAACTGTACTCGATCACGACAGCTTTACTACAACAAAAGTTACAGACAAATGCAAGTTTGGTTCAATTTTTTCCTGTAAATATCTATGAAGGTTAGAGCGGTCATTATCTGAATTAAACATCTATTTTGAGCTATTTTTGTGAATATCTAAGCTGTATCGTTATAGGTATTGAGCGGAGAGTGAATTTTAGATGTGTATTCACTCAAGATTTCTGACCTGTCGCACATCAATCGCTTTTATTGCATGTGTGGGACTAGTTTACACAGGTGAATGTAAAACCTGTCATTCTGTCAATCTTTCTCTGTTCGGGTGCGGAGAAGTCGCCGACGTGAGGGGGCTCATCTCATTCGGCAAAGTTTTTTGGGCTCGCAGGCAGCTCGGAAAAACTGGGCGGAGTGTGAGACATTCATTCATAAGTTTCTGCAATGAGTTGTGTGTACGGTACTACAATGATTCATGCATATTTTGAAAGCTGAGAGTCTATGCTTTTTCATGATGTATGGCACAAATATTTTTGATGAAAAAAGGTATGCTCTTTTCAAGTTGAAAACAGGCATGATTTTAGGGACATTTTACAGTTTGTTACATGGATGTCTTCACCCAGAGGGGTCACAACTGAAAACCCTACTTGAAATCGCAGATTTCCTGATCCCTAGGTGCTGGTGTTGGTGAATGGGAAAAATTACATGTCAATCGTCAACACCTATTGCAAGCAATATCGGATTAGTAGTAGATCTAGACAATATGTAACACCAGCTCTCAACAACAGATGCAGACAACACAACACAGACTACCGGAAATGCGTCATATTTTCCGAGGTCAACCTCAACACCAGTATGACTTAAAACTCGAAGTTATGGCTGTTGTGGGTGCCTTCACAACAACAACACCAGCTTTCAAAGTTCAACACCGAATTTGATATCACCAAATCGAATCTTCAGTGATCTTGATTTCTACAACACCGTTCTCTACACATGGGACAATACACAAATTTTCAACAGCAATATTTTCGATTTTACCAGAAATACGGACAGTAATTTGACATTTAGATACGTTTAATCTTGATGAAATCACAAATCCTAATGATCTATACTTACCATCCTTGCAAAAGTTCTTATAAACCGCATGAAAATGTCTCCTAAACACCTGTTGAATTTGATGCACGTTTGCAGATGACCTGAGTTGACCTATTAACTAGGGATAATGCGATTGACCTGGGATATCGTGGTACATGTCATGTTTATAATATTCATGCTTATAATATTCATGTAGAGGGGGCTAGATCGAGAGTCTAAATAAAAATAAGATAAAGCAACAAAAATTACAAAACAATGAGTAACAATGTTTGTTTGAAATTATAGAACAACGGTGTCGGATTTGTATCCGTGGTTTGGGGGGGGGGGGGGGGGGGGATATGATAGGTACCAAAATATTTTCGGCAATGGATCAAAGCAAACGTGTGGCAGGTTGCACCCCTCCCTTCCAAGTTATTAACTTTTTCAAGTCACCCTCAATGAAGCTTTTCAGAGAATAAAGTGGGACCCGGCCATGTGGGTCTCACAGGCCTGCTATACCTGGGTTATTATCCTCTCAAGCGCGTTGCGAGGATTTTATAGGGGGCGGTAAATATAGTGAGCACGCGAGTCACTTACAGAGCGCGCAAAGAACGAAAAACAAAAGCGCCCCCCCCCCCCTCCCGCGCTTATTCGCCGGCCGGCTGAGTCGGCACTAAATTTTGTATTATAAGATTTGGCTACCCCCCCCCCCCTTGACGCCGTCTGGATCCTCTGCAGGCACGGATCCATGGGGGGGGGGGGGGGGGGGTTTGACGGGTCAACAACAAAAAAGAATGAAAATTTTTTTTCTCACGAATCAGGTGAAAAAACAAAAATAGTGGTCTCACCCTCCCCCCCCCCCCCCTTATTCACCGGCTGACTGAGTCGGAGCAAAATATTTCCTGAAAAATTGGACCAAAAAAAAGTGCCTCCTTCCCCCCCCCCCCCCCCCCGCTTATTCGCCGGCCGGCTGAGTCGGCACTAAATTTTGTATTAAGATTTGGCTACCCCCCCCCCCCTTATTCACCGGCTGACTGAATTGGCGCAAAATATTTCCTGAAAAATTGGACCAAAAAAAAAGTGCCTCCTTCCCCCCCCCCCCCCGCTTATTCGCCGGCCGGCTGAGTCGGCACTAAATTTTGTATTAAGATTTGGCTACCCCCCCCCCCCCCCCCCCCCCCCCCCCCCCCGTTGACGCCGTCTGGATCCTCTGCAGGCACGGATCCACGGGGGGGGGGGGGGGTTCACGGGTCAACAACAACAAAAATGAAGAAATTTTTTTTTCTTCTCACGAATCAGGTAAAAAAACAAAAATAGTGGTCTCACCCTCCCCCCCCCCCCCCTTATTCACCGGCTGACTGAGTCGGCGCAAAATATTTCCTGAAAAATTGGACGAGAAAAAAAGTGGCTCCTAAATTCAGTGTCTTTTGACGTTTCATTACATTATTGAAGAAAGAACACGATTCGTTGTACCATTTTCGACTCTTAATCCTTGTCTGAATTCAGTTTCTCCCCCCCCCCCCCCCCCCCTTCCCGCGCGAAGCGCGGAAGTTTTGACATTTCTTTTAATAATTAGAGAAAGAAGACAATTCGTTGTATCGTTCTCGACTCTTAATCATTGTTTGAATTCAGTTTCTTTTGATGTTTCTTTAAATTATTAAAGAAAGAAGACGATTCGTTGTACCATTCTCGACTCTTAATCCTTGTCTGAATTCAGTCCCCCCCCCCCCCCCCTTCCCGCGCGAAGCACGAAAGCTTTGAGGTTTCATTACATTATTAGAGAAAGAAGACAATTCGCTGCACCGTTCTCGACTCTTTATCCTTTTTCTTCCTACGTCCTCTTCCTTTCTTCTTTCTTTCTCTCTCTCTCTCTCTCTCTCTCTCTCTCTCTCTCTCTCTCTCTCTCTCTCTCTTTGGCCGGCTCTTTAGCCCCCTGGCTACGCGCCTGTATCCTTTGATGTTTCATTAAATTATTAAAGAAAGAACACGATTCGTTGTACCGTTCTCGACTCTTAATCCTTGTCTAAATTTAGTTTCTTTTGACGTTTCATTAAATTATTGAAGAAGAACACGATTCGTTGTACCATTTTCGACTCTTAATCCTTGTCTGAACTCAGTTCCCCCCTCCCCCATCCAGCGCAAAGCGCGGAAGCTTTGAGGTTTCATTACATTATTAGAGAAAGAAGACAATTCGTTGTACCGTTCTCGACTCTTAATCCTTTTTCTTCCTACGTCCTCTTCCTTTCTTCTCTCTCTCTCTCTCTCTCTCTCTCTCTATTTATTTATTTTGTTTTGGGGGGGGGCGACCGCCCCCACCGCCCCCCTGGCTACGCGCCTGTATCCTCTCTGTCTCTCATTATCTCTCTCTCCCACTCTCTACTACTTTTTTGCACTTTTGCGCTTCGCGCTTAACATGTAGCTCGTTGCCTTTTATCGCTGCGGCTTTGCATTTGGCGCACTGCGTTTCTATGTTGCTGTTGATTGAAAAAATTAAATACATTCATCAATTCCTGATGAAGCCGAATAAGCGAGATTTCAATTTATTCTTGTCTCATATACGGTTGTCTCATTTACGTATGTATAATGAAAATGAGATAGCAAAATGTGTATATTGATGGTCATCTTGCGAGTAATAACCATTAAATACTCTCATCGGGCTCGCATCATTAATTTTTCTCTTCATTTTTTAAAATTTTGTATGGTGAATTATTGGGGGGATGATTGTACAGGCCACCCCCCCCCCACCTGAAATATATATATATATATATTTTTTTTTTTTTTTTTGGGGGGGGGGGATATACCCCCCTCCCCCGGGATCGACATCCATGATATAGAAATCAATAAATAAAATAAAATCAAATAATCAATGAGTATTACTTTGAAAGAAAATCATAATTATGTGCAGTATTAACTGTCATGATGATTGGCACAGCATGATTCTTCCATTCATTCTTCTTTTGATATTGCATGTACTTTTATCCTTCCTCTCGCTCTCTCACATCCCTTTTCTCTATTTTGAACTTGCTACTTTTCAAATTTCCTTTTCTCTTCTTCAGTTCTAGTCTTTCCTCTTTATTTCTATTTCACCCTCATCTCTCATCTCTCTGTCTGTCTCTCTCTCTGCCTCTTCCTCTTTCTCCCTTCGTCTCTCCCTCCTCTCTGTTTCTCTCTCTCACTCTCTGTCTCTCCCTCCTCCTCTCCACCTCTTTATCTTCTTCCGATGTTTTACAGTGCAACATTCTTTAATTATTCCTACTGTGACCTATAATACCTAAGGACTTCCATTTTTCATGTGCAATATGTTTAGACATGTACTGTACTCAGTGTCACACTTGTGATTAGCACACTGCCAAGACTCCAACTTTAATACTCATTATACCTACTGAATTGAATTTGTATTGCATTTTATCGCAGTTTTTCATATGTTACTGTTAATTGAATTCATGTATCTGGATACTTTTTTTTGTTTTTGATGTAAACATTTCTCCATTTTTGCTAGCAATATTTTATATCTTGTATTTTGTTGGTATCTTTTTTTTTTTTTTTTTTTTTTTTGTTACTGCTTCGATATTTTGATGTACACATTTATTAATTTATATATATTTGTTTCCATTTGCTATGTTTTCTTGATTATAATATATATCTATTATTTAAAAAAAAAAAAAAAAAAAAAAAAAAAAGTACCGGAGTGTTGGCTCAGTCAGTAGAGCGTCCGCCTCACAACCGGGATGTCGTGGGTTCGAACCCCGGCCGCGTCATACCAAAAGACGTTAAAAGATGGGAGTTGTTGCTACCTTGTTTGGCGTTCAACAATAAGGGATAGACCAACGTCGATCTGGCGCTGCTCAGTGGCTGCCGGGCTCACGATCAATTGGGCAAAAAGAATTTCCGTTTCGGTTTAATAAAATTTGGAGTGGAATATTAGATTAGATTATTATTGTTATATCTATGTTTTTGAATGCTTTTTTTTAATATGATTGTCACTGTTTGATGTAAATTTGCATTTTTAGTCTTTTGACGTTTTGACAAGTCTTGAATAAAACCTCATTTGATTGAATTGAATTGAATTGAATTGAATAATTAATGAAAGCAGAACAAACACAATAAAGGTGGAGTGCTTATGATAATAGCACTGCTTGCATGCTGCTGCATGAAATTGATAGTAATAATTTTTTTAAATAACATCAACAAAAACCAATAGATAATCGAGCAAATAAATAGAGTTGCCTAGCTGATTAATAACATTCAAATACTCTATAAATATGCCCCTTTTCTTCTCTAAATATGATTATGGTGGTTTCACAATGAAATTAATAACAATAATAATAAGATATTTGTATACCGCAAATTGCAAATTGCCACTAAACGGTTTACATCAGGTCGTAGACGTATAGGTAATCTCAATCGTTGGAAGCAGATGAAGATGCAACATACTTAGTAAGGTTTTCAGGCCCTGGATTGGGGCTGATATCACCAAACACCAGGAGATCAAACTGAAAGGTTGACGATGAGTTAGAGTAGTACTGGCCATGTTGACAGAGACCACCAACACCGAGTGCTAAGAGTGGTGGTTCGGTGAAGATGATGCTGATGATGATAATAATTATAATTACAATAATGATAACAATAATTATAATGATAATGATAATGATAATAAGTATGTAGTAATAATAACAATAATAATAATGATAATAATAATAATAACTAGTTCTTATAGAGCGCTTTTCAGGACCGAAGGCACTCTCAAAGCGCTTTAGAGAGATATATATTATTACCCCGGTCATCTGATTCAGGCTTACCCGCACACAATGCATGCACATTCTCCTCTCCCTGGGGAGCATTCCAGCCAGGTGTCATTTTTTTTTACAAGCGCACACTTGCTAATCTATCTAAGCACATTAGCTTTCGCATTATACAGGGTACCCACTTAACACCTGGGTGGAGAGTGGCAAATGGAGATCAATGTCTTGCCAAAGGACATTAGTGCCGCGGTGGGACTTGAACCGCGGACCTTGATTCGTGATCTACAGTCCACGACACCTCGACACTTCCTGATGCCATAATAATGATCATAATGATATAAATAATATCCTAACTTTGACAACATCACCAACAATAATAATAATAATAAAGGTAGAAACTCCCTCTAATAGTGCGTACATGTACCGTTTCA